AATGTAAATCGTTTTAGAATGGAAAAACAAAAACGCAAAGCTTTTTCACTTAATGAAAACTATGAGATTATTAACATTTTTTCAAGTTCGTTATATCCGGACTCAACTGTCTTAACGTAACTAACTAAATATCGTTCGCAAATCACGGATCATTTTTCAGTGCAGCACCAGTTAATGTCAAACATTCTTAAGTGGCAAGAAAACAGACATATTTTTTTGCGCAGAAACGACGAATGCTACAAGATTTTACAAAGAAGCACAAAATTGAGGATAAATTATTAGTGTATGTATGTGATATGTATGGTATTTAACCAAAAAAAATTGAGTTAATTCCATTCAACAAATAAAAAGTTCTGGTAGTTTTTGTACCACGACACTCAAGAATTCACCACTTGCCTGAAACCGCTGAACTCAAATGTTTCATAAAAATATGAGTCTTACATAAGAACAAAGTCACAGCGAGTTTCACCAAAATCAATCGTACCAGTCTCCCGATATTTCAAAAAAGATAATTTTTTTGCAGAACTTTGACCATCAATAGCAGAGGATCCAGACATTTTTTGTTTATAAAAGTTAGGCCAGATCGTCTTCTTTTGATGCAAAGAATATCGCAGTACCCTTTTGATCATGTGCTTACGGGACACCCTATATACCTACGTATCAGAGTAGGTATGTCACGATACTAATTTTCGATAAAAGGGCGAAAAGTGCCGTTTGTCGAACGACGATGGCGTTTGACGTCAAACCGTCAGGAGTTCGGAAACTGATTTTCGCTCTCGTATCGAACAATATTTATCATTTGAGTGAAAGACCACGAATTATAAGTTGTGATAAATAAGAGTAGTTATAAATAAAAAGCATCGATGTCAGATTCGAAATTATATGTCACTGCTATTTTTCAAACGTCACGTTTTGACGTTTGCAATTTTCTAACACTTTCGTAAGCATATACAAGTGAAACAATGGGTGCTAGAGATGTCGCTTTCACTGTACAGCGTTTGTATGACATTTGCGCCATTTAAAAAGATCGTGTTTTGCTTGTGGCAACATCGACGAACGCAGAAAAATAGGCCAAAAGGCTGAACACAAGTTCAGTTTGTTACAAAACAAAGTTATAAATTGTAATTAGAGTTTAACTTATGGTCCGGTAATTCATTAAAAAAGCATGTCGGTTACTTTTTAATGAAAATACTTTACAGTGACGGTGGCACGTTTTTATTTGACCATTTAATTAAATTCTTTACTATTTTAAAAATAGTTTTATTCGGTTTCCCCAATTTTTCCAACTAATTTTGAATGTGGCATTTTGATAATAGGAAAATTTATTTGCCAGGATTATGTCATTGACGCAAAAGTAGAAGAAAGTGAGATTTACACACAACTACTTAATATTGTACTTTTATGTGTCGTCGACTGTAGAAAAGTTTAGTGTCTTATTATCAAATTTCAGATAGAAGTGTTTTCGTTTGTCTGAAAGAGTGTAGCACTGTAGTACGCATGCATTTCGTAGATTCCTTGTACTGTGTTTAACTAAACGCGCTTTAAGATCTATTTGGTTTAAATGTATTTGAGGAACCAACTTTCCTTAACAGTGAACAATGAATCGTGAATGAAACCCTCTTCTACGGACTGGACAGTAGGCAAAAGTAAATATAGTAGTAAGTAGTTATCATAGGCAGAGTAGGTAGTTGAGACCCACCTGGCTTGAAAGCAAAACACTCCAATACGAATAACTGGGAAGCCCAAAAGGGTTAGTGAAATACTAGTAGAAAGTGGTTACGGAAGTTTTCGACAGCATGGAGACTCACCTTCTTTGTTCATTCCTGCATCCTGGCACTTTTGTAGGCGGCACGCCCGACATTGGTTTCTGTGAGCCTTGTCGATCTTGCAAGAACCCGGAATTTTGCTTTTGCAAACGTATTTGCGATCTCTGCGAATCGATCGCTTGAAAAAGCCTGCACAGCCATCGCAGGCAAAAATGTTGTAATGTTTCCCGGATGAGTTGTCTTGACAAACCTTGCAAGGTATGTCCAGAATTCGACCTGGAAACACAAGACCACTTTCAACAAACTTATACAATCATAGATTTCATCCGAATTATTCATTGCTTTACAAATACAGCGTTTCCTAATCGTTTTTATGTCATTTACTGTTGCTCTTGCCAATCCAGAAGAACAGCGGCAGACGGCAAGCAGCACAAGTATCAAATGGGAACATGGTAGGCATATAAAGGTTGGCGTTTTATCATTGACGAATAATAATGTTTAAGTTGAATTTAATCAATTATTATCCGAAATATCACAGTTTTGCAAAATATATTTAATTAATGCTTGTGTTAACCTTTGAACAGTTAAGAAGCTCAATACGTACTGGTGCCCATGGTCATGGTGTAGTGTCACCAAACTCTCACCGACACTTGCAACAAACAATATATGTATGACTCTTTCAGAATCGACTGGCTGATAAAAACGTATGAATGAGAGAATAAATATAACGGGCTCCTTAACGCGCATCGAAAAAAATGAAGAAGATAGATAACACGCCTATTTACATAAAAAACAAAGCTCTTGATCGCAAAAACCGATAAGACCGAACTAGATATAATAAAGTTATAGATTAATACTAAGTACTATTGGTGAATTGGTTTCCACAACTCGAACATTATTATACGCATAATCTCTCGAAAGCGGCAAAAAGCAATACGGGGGTTTCTTAATGATTTTCAAGGTTGAGGTTTTATGAGAATACCTCTTTAATGGCTTTGGCTGAAACATGTCGAACGGTTCTATTTTGCAACCGGCACTTACTTGTGTCATTTTCAGATACGTTCAGTTTCTATGAATTTCAGACCATCTAAAAATTGAATGATTTTAATGTTCATATCTTGTTTGGTTTACATAATTTCGTGCTGTTATCGGCATACATAAATGCAAAACGCCCTTCCCACTATGTGCAACTGCATGAGCTCGAAGCGGAAATAAGAAAAAGGGAGGCGTTAACTACCCGCCTATACAAGTGCAAGTTGCTCATTTTCAGGATGTGCTCATTTCGCAGTTGTGTTTGTAAAGATCGTATTGGCTACTAACAGATCAGAAGCATATTTAATTCTTAGTCAAAGGCATGTGAATGTCCACAGTTTTATTTGGGTAATTATTTTATGAATCTCTTGTTTGCAAAGGCGGATCCACGACCCCTCCATGACCTCCATGACCCCCCCCCCTCATTCAATTCTCTATCCAACGATGCCAAAACGAATTCTTTGGCCATTTCTTTCTGTTTAGAATGATGTACAAATGAGCCTTCTTGCTCATTTTGCCTCCGAGATATGAGCAAAAACGGGCCGGAAAACATGAAATTTTGGCATAATCTTGAATATTAATTGATATTCATATTTCGCTTTCTGGGCCAAAACTATTCGAATTTCCTCACTCACGTTGTACGACTGAATCGACTTTTCAATTCTCTATCCAACGATGCCAAAACGAATTCTGTGGCTCGAATGGTTCTTGAGAAACTCCGAAAAAAGCAGCGTCATGTTCAAGTAGATTTTGCAACTCAAAAAAAACCACGCAAATCTAAAACTTCTTGAATTCAAGCCTTTTTTGAGAAAAC